AATGTTCGTGCAACCTTTAATCAACATATTCATTTAAATACGTCTGATGACTTGGATGAGACCTATTTTTCAGTGAGACCATTCATTACGTTCTTGTTGATTTGGATTTTCAATCGGGAATAGACATTGCTTCAATAAATTTAAAATTCAAATAAATTTCTATAGTAATTGTTAACCATAAGACTCATAACGGATATTACCCTTATATACTCGTACAACGGGTTTCCGATGTCACAGAAACGGTTTAAATTATTTCTAAAATGAAAGGATTCCGTTATAACAAATCAGCAAATTTCAGTACAAGAAGCTAATTTTGCACAAACTTTGTCATCTGAGCTTGAATTTCGGACCAGCATCAGCCAACCCTAGACGAGAGCTCAATCGTTCCATAAATACTCGTATATGACGGAAATCCGTGATTTTTGTATCCATACCTTTGCTTGTGGATAAAAATTCAAATACGAAAGATTTTGGATGTTCAGGGGTTTCTACTAAAATTAGGAAATGTTAAAATTCATCAATAGATGAAAACCATTTTATAAGCATGTCTGAAAAATACAATACTGTGCATTAATTTTATTGCCCACTCTCGCCTTATTGATTGTGAATGGGTTTTGAAGAAAACATCAAAACAAGATTCAAGAAATTTTGTATGCAGAAAAGTTTCACGAAGATGAAACTTTTCTGCATCTTTATAATGCGTTGGCGAAGTTGAATTAACATTTGGTTCATTTTTCTATAAAATAATGAAATAAAAATTGCGGTGCTCACGATCAACTACTGCATGCCTAATTTTTTTTTATAAACCCACAAAGATTGTTCCCAAATGAAATTGCAGCAGATATTTTTTACACAATGAAACAAAGCAAGAACAAATTTCTTGGAATACTGTATATACTGCTGTCGTTGGCGTCAACGTCATCGATTTAGAATTGGAATTAATCTGCCTAAATTTTTCTGCTTGGAACTTATTCAAGTATCCTGGTTTACCTTTCCAAATAAAAAAATTTACGCATTGCCTTACCGAAATAAAATGCTGAAATATAAATTATTCTTCTTCGCCGAAGCATTTCTCTGTATACATCAAAAATAATCAGTTCTTTTTTTTTTATTCCTAAAGTTAGGCTTCAGCATGCATTCTTCAATTTTAAATTTATCGTATACAGAGAGAAACTCAGGAAATTTTTGATTGTTTCTTCTTTATAATCCTGAAGATAGTTCTAGAAATAATCATTGGAAGTTTGCGTAAGACTAGGCCTGAAAAATGGATATCTTTCCTCCCATTGACGGTGGGAAGAAAAATAAATAAAAATAGCGGGAAACTTTCAAATGATATGAGCAAAAATGCCTACAAAATTCACTCCATTTCATCGATTGTCCCAAAGACATAATTTTCATTAAAAAAAAAACGCTTATTATTCCGGCGGAGAAATCGTTCTTCGATTTACAATAAAAGTTGAAAATTTAGTTCTTTCCCCGCAACTTTAGAAAAACGCGATAAGAAAACGATTTCTCAGTTAATAATATAAAACAATCAATACTTTCTCGAATATTTCGCGAAGGATTTCGGCACCTCAAAATTCTACACAACAGCTGAAAAAAAAACAGGCTCTAAATTGTTTCGTCGACAGTCTCCTAAGCAATAATCCCTGAGTGATATTGTTTGTCAAAGAGAAAATTCGCTGCTGATTAGTCCACTGACTTCATGCAATTGTGTTCTGCATTCACGCATATATAACATTTTTTCTTTCGAAATTGAAAAAGGAATACTTTCAGCCTATACCTGTTATTTTCTGGGATAATTGATGAACAAATGCCATGCTGGATGCAACCCTATAGGTGCTGGTATATGTCAGAGACACAAACATCCAAGAATTAATTAAACGTAAGAAGGGCATCGGTTGGGTTCCCCGCGTACGAGCCTCGGTACTCTTCCTGCGAAATGTGCCGAATCCGAACGCATTCGCGGGTTTCTCTCACCACGGAACCCGTCATAACTCCATGAACGGATTGTTGTGGCACTTGAGCGATTCGAGGGTCATCTATCTATATTACCCCATGCTACCCAAGAGGACCTTGTTGCGGGGAAAAATATTTTCGTCTCTGAATGCCTGCTTATATTCCTCTCCCTTCGCCACTGGATGCTCGATTGAAGGGTTCTGGCTGATCACTCGGCATGCGCGTGAAAGATTGCCCGTCAAATAGAGGCTGCTCGACGCTCCTCTTTTATGAAAGGAGCTGACGGGAATTCTTTCATTCAATTTTTGATAAGAAACTATGAGTTTTTGAGAGGCCTCCTCGGTTTTACGCCAATGTGCATTTGTTTTCGCCCTTTTAACCAACTCTAAGCTTATGCGATTTCTTCAAGGTACAGTACTGTGATTAATGGCAAGGTTTTCTACTGGATAGTCGAACCAAACTCCGTAATCTAGTTGACTTAAGCGAACCAAGTGTTTCAAAAATCCCGAACGTTTGTTACTGGTTAGCTAAAGTAAAATCTACTTGGGTTGTAACTATACAGTAATTCATTTTTCAATGATGAAAAAGTTCAAAGTTACCGCCTCACGATGGAATGCACTGCAGTCTAAAACAAACTAATTTAAATGAATCGGGACTTCAATTCGCATCCGGGGAAGGTTACCAACTAATTGATTTGTGGAATAATAAGCAAAATCGGCCACGACTAAGATTTTCCAGCAAATAATTCTCGGCTCTTCACCTTCAAATACAGACATAGTTCTTTACTGCTGGGTTTTTCATTTTCTTGGATACTGTTTCTTCAGTCAGTTCTTCACTCTATGCATCTTCATACACCTTTGCTGATGTTTCGTCTGGGTCTCACTTGTTTCGTCGATTTTTCAGAAACAACCATGGAGTCCCTGCAAAATCCATTTGGCGCCCACTGGGCTCCACGGAGCACCCCTTGGGATTTTCTGTCTCATATTCTTCTCCTTGTCTTCACTCACATGGTCTATTGCGGATGATCGTTAATCTTTCTTTTTTTTACGCCTGGAAAACTCTTCATTAGAGAAATTCGTATAGTTTTTCTTAGTGTTTGTTCTTGGTTTCACTTTTTTGTGTATTGGTACTACTTCTTATGTCTCTATAATCTCAGTTCATGCACAAATACCGGTGGATTCAAATTTTCATTTACAGTATATCCACTTTCAGTTCATGTAGCCCCTGGGGACTCCAGGAAGCCGAAGGGTCTCCCTGGATCACCGGTCCAAGACTTGTGGGTTGAGTGTGACTGGGATTGACAGCCAGCAATGCTTATCCTAAGCATTGATTACATTATGTTTGCTCTTTTTCGGATGAGCGCGGAGGCAACGCCGTTCCGGCCTGACAATCCGGACGAAGGATGATCTGCGCGACGCTTCACAAAATAAAAATAAATAATAATAAAATAAGATAAAAACATGAGGATCCACAACCCCCAATTTGTCATGGGCATTTTCCTGGAAATTCCTCATCGCGCAGTGCAGCAATTGCAGCGCAGTACAGTACGTCCTACGGGACGCCAGACAGAAGAAAACAATGCCGGGCTTGTTTCCGCGAGTCCTCCGCGCCGCCAGAGCGCACGCCGTCCTCGCGACGGGGGGAAGCGCGAAGGTGCCGCAGAACGAGCAGGCTATGTGCACGGAGGGGGCAGAAGCGGACGACGTCCTGTTGCTCGAGCCGCCCTAGCTTATGCTAGCTGCGTCCTCGGTCCCCAGTGCCATTCCGCTTTAGCGACCCATTCGCTGCTGGGATCGCGCGCGAGCGTTGGAGCTTCCGGGCGCGCGGCGCCGAAAATGGAAAGCGAGAGAAAAAAAAGTTTTTTTTTTTTTTTCGTGGGGGCGCCGAGCTTGGTGCTGCTGCTGCAGAGATGCAAGTGCAGTTGGTTGGACGCGGTCCCCCCAGCACCCTGGAAAAATAACCTGAGTCATGTGTCCTCCTGTGTTGAATTCATCTCGGATTCCCTTTTTTTTGTGTGGTTCAATTGTCTTCTGTGTCTCTGTGTTTGTGTTCAGTCGAGTGTTGATTAACAGCGAGCGATCGTGGAACTCTGAAGTGAACCTGACTTTCATCAAGCCAAGACCAAAGGCCTCTCGGGAATTTCTGTGCGTTTCTTCATTTGTTTCGAAATGTGACGCGTTTCAATTGAAAACTCGAAAATTTACGACAGCACGGAAATTACTGGGTGAATTTCGGTTGAGGACTCTTCCATCGAGATTCGTGTCAGTGTCGAATTTTTATTCAAGAAAAAGAGGAAAGTACATCTGCCTCTGAAAGAGCAAAACAAATAGACGGCGAGCAAGAAATTATTTTCGTGACCAGACAGTTGAATTTTTTTGCGTCGAGAAGGCAGAATTAAGTGCACTTAAGTAAAAGTAGGACTTCATTAAAAGAATATCTAAACAAAAGCGCGAGGAATTTTACGCATCCTTGCTCGCTTTTTTTATAGCAGCTTTCTTGCGTTACTATAGGACTCATATTTTTATTTGAAAAAAGCTCCCATAGAAGCTTTATTGTTGCTTGTGCTCAATTTTCTATGTGCTATGTGTCGTTATTTATTTTATTCCGACTTCAATCCATTTTAGTCGCCCAGTTGGGATTTTACTCGTATAACGTGAACCAATTAATTGGGGAAATGAACAAAATTTTCGAAAATAAGAGGTACAAAACATCTTAAATATGTTACAATTTTAGAAGGTTCATCGCCAGTAAAACTACGCCAGTACTTTCTTTGTTACGATGATTCATCTCAAAATTGTCAATTCAGCAGTCTGTGTTGCTCGATGGAACGTAGTCATGAGAAAAATTCTCTCCACGAACGTCCTCTTAAAAATATTACAGATCTTTTGTTTTAAAAATATCTTGATAAAGCGACGTTAACGCTGCGGCATATTTGTTCATGACACCTGTTTTAGTTCATAATTCCTGCATAACTTTACGTATCAAGCTTTGATGCACGCATGAAATCCTCGACAGTGATTTTATGAAACATTTCTTCATCAAAAACAGATTCAGTGAATTCAGGATCGTGAAAATTCGCTGCGTGAACAGTCTCGGTGACGGAAGTTCGTCGCGATTCATAACTTTCGCTTGAAGTTGTTTTCGCGAGTTTGCTGGAACAAAACTGTCGGTGGCAGCTATCTTTGGACCGAAGAAAGTGAGTTCATTTTTATTTCGATATTAAAAAGGGGCCTGCTGAAATAAGCGAAAAGTCAAGGCACCGAAAAACTTGCTGAAAATGGCGAGCTGACAGACATTATTGCAATGCACATTTTTGTACTGTATTGCATTCACGCTTTCCGTTTTTCCAAGACGCTGCGCGAAGTGGTCTTCTTTTGACAATACGGTATATTCTTTTATGTTTGACGTGGTGAAATCGATCAAGTGCGCTGAATAAAATTCGATGACAAATTTACCCACGGAAAATAATCGCGGAAATCTTCGAATCGTTTGTTTGTTCTTAAAATTTGTGTAATTATCCACCGGCGCCAAGCACGAATGAGCTGACTCTCCGTTATGTTCGGCATCATCGTGGTAATTACGAAGCGCTTCATCGCTAGAGTGATTATGTTGCCGAAAATCTGTGTCAACGGCTGGTACTAATGTGTTTCTATTCCCTGCCCGAAGAGATCATTAACTCGCCTCGATCCGTTGCAAGGCATCCAGCTAGGTTGATCCGGGTTAAGAGGTTACACCGTTGTTGATTCGGGCGACGAAATCCAGACTCGTAATGAATCGCTCCACGCTCGTCAAGTGGGCAAGCAAAGGTTTCGCATTTGCATTCGTCCCGGAGGACGACGCGCACTGATTTTACTTTTGTACATAGGCCACAACATCCCCCCCCCCCCTCCAACCGATGCGGCCTATACTCCAGATATTCAGGCACACCACTGAAAAGCGATGCACTCTCATCCCTGTGTGTTTATGCACTCAAGAAGTTGAACTTCGATAACTGGAACCTTTCAGAGTCAAATTGTTTCGAAGTCCACGTCTGAATTCCCTTGGAAACAATGCATTAAAATCCTCTCCGAATCAAAGGCGTTTCCTCTCAAACCTCCGTAACTTAAATTTTCTGAAGCCTTTTGGAAATTATTTCTTGACATTGGAAAGAAAAAAACAATAAAAAAGTAACTTGATGTGTTTTGAAATGAAGTGAAAGACTAATTGGGCGAGTGAGCCCCTACCTCAAAGTTCAGCACCCTGTCAGCTCCTTTAAGAAACAATTTAAGGCCCACAATATTACCATTTACAATTTGCTGCCATTCTTCTATCATTCCCACAACAAAAATGCTTGTTTCCTTAACTCAAAACCTTTCTGAGTCAATTTTTTTTAGCTGGTCCCTTGAAATTCGACTGGAAAAGGTTCGACAGTACCATAATACCTCATATAAAAGAAAAGCGGGAAGCTATATCTGGAGAGGCTGTTTCCTATTTTGATTGTCAAAATAGTGTGAAATAATGCTCCAATATTGTCTTCTTAATATTTTTAGGAACTCCAATTTAAAAAAAAATCAGCAGGGTTTTCCGGTTCTAGAATCGTTCTACTGTTGAATTTTCAAAATTTTACCATGGGATAGTCGGTTTATTTTTTATGCATGTCCAAAAGTGCGTATGTCCGATAGTAGCGTAATTACGGTACTCCTTTCATTGCATCGCTAAAAGCCCTAAGGATTCCGTTAATTTGATTTTCGCCAATGACAGTAATTTTATCCAGCTTTTCCTAGCAGAAGAACCAAAGCATATTTCGTGTTTTATTTTACCCTGTATCCGGTCAATTGCTGTACAGTACTGTGATTCGACGCGCTTTGTTCACTGGCGGTCGCGTCCAGCAGGAACGTATAACTGTTGAAAAATTGTCGTCGATTCCCGAACCTGGTGTTTTTGAATCCGTGACTTAGCATTATATAAACCAACAGGTTGTGGTGTCTTCAGCATCGGGGACGCAGTGAACTCCGTCGATACGTCAATGGGTCAATGAAGTGAAAATAGGGAAGAAAAATGGGGAATTGATGACCGAGGCATGCCGGGAGCTTAGGATTAATGACTGCGGCGGCCCGATTTGATTATTGAACGGGTTTCGTGACTAGGGGATACTAAACAGGGTTGGCTTTGAAACTCACGCAAGCCCGTGACTCTATACTCGACTTCTCATTTGAATGATATTGATACCACTGGGTTTGATCCGCCCCGTTTGCTCGAACCTTTTGAACAAACATTCCTTTGCTTTCCCTGAGTTAATGAATGAACACCTAACAATGGGAGCATAGCTCACGCCCATGCTCAGCTTACCGCGCAAACGAAGTCATATTTTGTTGAAATTTAAATCAGGCCCATTTTTTACGAAATACTCGTTAGAACCTAGTTTGCGTCTAGAAAGCTGCGTCTCGATCCGAGGAAACCTTCACTCATTATTCCAATGTTTTGAAGAGGCAAGGGAAGCTTGTTGGTTACCTTATGGTAATGAATGTTTGCGAGGTTTATTTGAAACAGGCTCAGCTATTCTGGTGTTGCATTTATGCTTACGTAATTTGATGAACATGGCTCTGATTCAATATTTGAGGAACTTCAGTTGAACGTCATTACACGGAGGACCAAAAGGCATTTAATAGTCCAACAGTTACATCATGGATTGTGAGCACTAAAATTATTCGTTTTCTGAGGTCACAATTGTATTCCTAGAAAGTTTCGGCTCGTTCCCAGGAAACCTTTACTCGTGATTTTATCGTGTTGAATAATCACGAGAAGCTTTTTAGTTGTTGGTTACCGTATGCTAACGAGTTGTTTATTTGAAGCGGGTTTATCTGTTTTGGTGTTGCATGTCTGCTTACATAATTTCCCTGGTTTGTGTCAGATCCAGCAACATTTTGAGAGCATTAGCTTACTGCTGCCCACGGTCTTGAACTTCGAAGCTTCTTGGACACTGTTGGAGTGTTTCATTCATCAGGTAATTTGAAAACACAACGGATTTTTTTTTCATGGATACAAATAAACCGCATTTACCCGACTTTATGCCTCTTTTACTTTGAAATTGCGGCCTTTTTTCAATTTACATTTTCAGAAGTAGGAAGACAATTTTCGTGAAGTTACAGAGAATCGAATATTGTTTTGTCCCCAACCAATGAATTAATTTAATATTAAGCAAAAGTCTCGCGTTCGAGTATATGTCGGTGAAAAGTTCGCAAATTAAATATGCCCTCGTACATGTTTCAATTCATGCAGGTCACACTTTCATGTAAATAAAATTCTTTTTTTTTTCCTATGAAAGTTTCTTTTGCTCTGAAGCGGCTTTACCGAGGGATAATGCGGCCGATGTACGAACATGCGGCCTATCTTTGGTGCGTTAACACGGAGTTTTGCTACTAGAGCGGCGTTTCAGCCTGTTTTAAGCATGCTACTGTATTGGTGAACTTGTCGAACACAAACACCGCCATGTGTTGTGAGCTGCATAATCCACAAAAAGGTTAAAAAGCCCTGTTAATGTAGTTGATGTTCGCGGAAGCCCTCGATTCCGATTTTATGCGTCTTTTGTCATGCTGCGTGACAGAAACTCGTAATTATCGAATGAGGGAAAGCACAGATGCAAACCGCCGGTGTTTTTTTCTTCTTTTTTTTTTTGTGGGAGCAGCGAGGGGCTGAACAGTTTCTTTCGGGCTCTCGAAACCGGCTCTCGCGTCGAACTCGGATCATTACCCGACAACGTCGCTGAGGCGATGCGACAAACGACAGCGTTTTCCCATTCCCGAAAATTGGTAATTGGGGACAGAGGCAACGTAGGGACATATTCCGCCATCAGCTGCGTTGTGATTAGCCCGCAATGTTTCGCCTCATCTTGCGCGGTTTCCTCGGTTTCGACTCCTTGTAATTGGCCTCCGAGATTCCTGGGTTTATGAGGCGTTAAGTTCTTCGGAGGTACTGTCAACAGTACCGCGGATGTCGTCGGCTTTAGCTCGGGGCCCGAATGCGCCCCCGTATGTAAACGTTTTCAGTAATGACGTGCATTCTATCTCGACATCAGTCTCGGAGGATTTATTTGTTGATTCTTTTTTGTCGCTGGATCTGTCGTTCGTTAATGAGCGTGGCTTCTTTTTTTTTCCGTGGCAACCACGCCTTTGTTGCGACCTCGAAACGACTCAAAATTATCGCGCTGCTCCGTGCTGACGAATAAATGCATGCGTTTGATTGAGTGTGAGCTCGGATCCGAGCAAGGCGTGTATTCATCTCTCGAGGAACAACAATTTTCGCCGAGAATGAATGTGTACTGGATGAAGTGGTACGGAACCGTGTATTTACATTCCGACGCGGGATTCACTCACTGTTCGTGGTGGCTGGTACTGTACTCGGTTTTATGCCGGAAAGTTTTGTTGCGTGCCGCGGGGAAGGAGGTAATTTTCTCTTTGCGAGTGAAAATTTTTGAAATTCAGTGTCCCAGGAAAATGTTCTCTCACATGCGATTCTGCCATTGAGCCGGCGAGGCGCACTGCGGTGTTGCCCGGACTGTCTTTGTTGATCAGCGTGATCATTTCTCCCGATAAACTGGACTTACACTTGATCGACTTTTAACCCATTTTGTTGATGTTCCTGCTGACAGAGTTCCGATTGTACGACCGGGTACTGCCACACTAGTGGGTCGAGATTCCGACAAGCCCGCACTTGAGTCATCGCGGGGAAAGGGCTTGAGATTCTAGGTCTGCTGTAAACGCCCTGTGTCGGCTTTTTAATGTTCCGGCGGGCATCTGCGTCTTTACTCTTCTTTTTTTTTTTTTCTCGGAAGGCGTGACTTTGGTAATGAGCTTCCAAGACTTGGCAGGAATTTGTGATCACCCACTGACCGGCGGCGACGCGGCTGAAAAATCGAGCGCGGGAAATCGTCGGGGTTTCGAATCGCGGACGAGAAGGCCTTTCGTACGGAAGGAAACAGGGGCAAATTTCCGGCTCAGGCGCCGGGAACCGTGTCGGAACAATCGACCGCCGCCCAACTGACCGCTCGCCGAGCTGCTCGAAATTGTCATCCCGAGTACTCTTTCCTGTTTACGCGAAGGATCATCAACGCTCAATCCCGGGGAAATGTACTTGATAGTGTGACGAGGCAGCTCTGATTACTCTTCTGATATACTGTACAGTACTGTACTGTACAGGGCAATATCGATTATCCCTGCT